GCAGAGCTAAACTCTGCCCTGCAAACAGTCCCTCTCTAAGCATGTTTCTGTACTGTTACTCACTGCTCCTACTGGAACTTTACTATAGTTGTACTTCCAGCCATGACTTCTGATAAAACAGGGATTCACTGTATACACTTCATTTTAAAAAGAAAATATTACACAGTGCTTAAAAAATACAACAAAACTGGGGCGCCTGGGTGGCGCAGTCGGTTGAGCGTCCGACTTCAGCCAGGTCACGATCTCGCGGTCCGTGAGTTCGAGCCCCGCGTCGGGCTCTGGGCTGATGGCTCGGAGCCTGGAGCCTGTTTCCGATTCTGTGTCTCCCTCTCTCTCTGCCCCTCCCCCGTTCATGCTCTGTCTCTCTGTCCCAAAAATAAATAAACGTTGAAAAAAAAATTAAAAAAATAAAATAAAATAAAATAAAACACAGAGTTTACTATAGGGAGAGTATGGAACCAATTTAAGAGAAGGCTGTTAAGGGATGCCTGGATGGCTCAGTCGGTTGAGCATCCACCTTCAACTCAGGTCATGATCTCGCAGTTTGTCGGTTCGAGCCCCGCGTCGGGCTCTGTGCTGACAGCTCAGAGCCTGGAGCCTGCTTCAGATTCTGTGTCTCCCTCTCTCTCTGCCCGTTCCCCACTCATGCTCGCTTGCTCTCTCTCTCTCAAAAATAAATAAACATTAACAAAAATTAAAGAAAAAAAAAGAAAGTTTATTATTGCGGATTTTTAGTTCCATTCGGTCTTTGTTTTCATCTGTTGCACCTCCACATCTTCCTTGCGTGACCTTGTGTGACCTTACGGATCAGGAAGGAACGTATGGATGAATCATAAATTTATCACCGCGAATAGGAAAAGAAGTCAGAATGGGAGTGCCTTCCAAGAATGGTTCAGAATATCCACTTTTTGTTATTTTTCATTGATCTTGCTTGGCTGCCCCCTCGACACAAAATTTCCAGTCAGAGCAGTTTTGTTGTATTTTTTAAAAAAAAATTTTTTTTTTTTCAACGTTTATTTATTTTTGGGACAGAGAGACAGAGCATGAACGGGGGAGGGGCAGAGAGAGAGGGAGACACAGAATCGGAAACAGGCTCCAGGCTCCGAGCCATCAGCCCAGAGCCCGACGCGGGGCTCGAACTCACGGACCGCGAGATCGTGACCTGGCTGAAGTCGGACGCTTAACCGACTGCGCCACCCAGGCGCCCCAGTCTGTGTTTTTTTTTTAAATTAGCGCATCTTCTCTCATATATTATACCCATCCAAGTAAGTGTAAGCCCTACTTCTGCCAAGAGCAGTCTGAAGCAATGTCCGTCAGATAAACAGGACATAAATGATCTCCTCAGCATCACCAAGTTAACAGTTAAGTTGGTTCTTTTTAAAAAAGGTATTTTTTCTTAACTTTTGTTTTAGAGAGAGAGAGAGAGAGAGAGAGAGGGCCAGTGGGGGAGAGAGAATCTTAAGCAGGCTCCACTTAAGATCCCATGATCCTGAGATTGTGACCTGAGCCCAAATCAAGAGTTGGACACTCAACTCACTGAGCCACCCAGGTGCCTGCCCCAAGTTGTTCTTTTTATTAAAAGATGAATTTATTTCTGAAGGTACAAACTGCTTTCTTCAGCATTCCTTCTATCCCAACTCAATACATTTTATGGAATTTTATTTAGAGTTTATAATTTCTGCTTTTGGGATTTTACTCTCTGGTTTTATTAGAGAGTGTTTGGGGGTTGTCTTAACTGTCTTTTAGGGCACTTCAGCATCCTTTTAGAAGGAAGAGAGAGCACACAATTATTTTTGGCATATTTCCTATTTGTAGCACAAACTGAATATTCTGACATCCACCAAATTATGGCAATTAAGTCATCTCCACCATTTTTTAAAAATTAGAGGTTTAGAACTTTGCAGAATGGGGCAGTGACTTCATAATAAAATCCACAGAATGAAGACAGTCTGAAAAGTACTACTTCTAAAAATAACAACTTTATTGTTTTAATTTATTCTTTTTAATGTTTATTTATTTTTGAGAGAGAGAGAGAGAGAGAGGCAGGGGCAGAGAGCGAGGGAGACACAGAATCCAAAGTAGGCTCCTGGTTCTGAGCTGTCAGCACAGAGCCCGACAGCGGCTCACCAACTGTGAGATCATGGCCCAAGCCGAAGTCGGAAGCTCAACCGACTGAGCCACCCAGGTGCCCCTAAAAATAAGTAATTTTAAAAGAAAATATTAAGCCTTACTGTATTTCTCTACTCCCTGGTTGATGTAATTCCCTGGTTTCCAATAACTGTGCAAATGAGAGGCCTCCAATACTTAAATTCACGAATGGATTAAAGAGAATAAACCATTCCTAGAGGTTTTTGTTTTCAAAAGTACACATTCTGCCTAGAATTATTTGTCAATTAATTTAAGAATTACCAAATAAGAGCGGCGCCTGAGTGGCCCAGTGAGTTGAGTGTCCGACTTCGGCTCAGGTCCTGATCTCACTGTTCGTGAGTTCAAGTCCCACGTCAGGCCCTGTGCTGTCAGTGCAGAGCCCGCTTCAGAGCCTCTGTCTCCCTCTCTCTCTGCCCCTA